TTGCATACTAGTGATGATGCCAGTTAGGTAGACATGTAGGACTACCTGTGATGTTATATGATTATTGCATGCTCAGTAGTTATGTTATATGTTATATGTTATGTGGGATAGGTTGAGGTTGTATTGCTCCGTGCGGTAGCCAACAAACCCTATGAGCATTCCAGTTACGGGCTAAGGGAGACTCGTACTGTGGGCTCGGGAGCATTCCAGTTACGGGCTAAGGGAGACTCGTACTGTGGGCTCGGTGGCAATCCAGATGTGAGTTGTGGGCCCGGTAGGCAATCCAGACTCACACTGTGGGCCCAGGGGTAATCCAGTCTGTAAAGTTGTGGACCCGTTACATGTTGTTCAGTTTGTTATGTTATGATATTGATGATATCGTTATGTGGACTGTATGTGTATCGGTATTTTGGGGGTAACTCACTAAGCTTTCAGACTTACAGTTTCAGTTTATTGTTTCAGGTACATCAGGGGATTGTGGCAAGGCAAAGGCGTGATCGTATAGCTCCTCACTTTTTATGACTTTGATTCTGGGATACTCTGATATTAAACTATTTTGAAAACATTTTGTAATGACTAATGAGTTTTGAATTGTTTAAAAAGTTTTAAATTGACTTGAATTTTACGGGTGTTACAATGGTATTCTTCCTAAGGTTATGAGTTTTGGCCACCGTCGCTAGTCCTTACTCCGACAAAGTTGAGAAGAGAACGCACGAAAAAATGACGATCACAACGGAGGAACATTAGAAACCAAAAATGATGAAGAGCAGCGATGCAATTTTCTAAATGAAGAGAAAGATTAATATGATGGATAAAGAGAGAGAAATCGGAAACATATAATTTATTTTTTTTGGAAAAAAAAACTAGCTAATATATTCTTAAATAGCATCTATGTCTCTTAAGACTTGAACTCTAACATCTCATTTGAAAGAGTAACTCATTACCCCGAAACAAAGAGAGTTTTTTTTTTATAAAAATAAATTGCTTTTTGAAGTAGTTGATAGAAATAGGTTTGTTTGAAAAACCTCTATAGAAATAGGTTAGTTTTTAAAGGGGCCCACAGTTCTAACACTTATAACTCCTATTTACGACAATCTAACTAACAATTGATATGTATTTGAATTTTCAACCCTTACATTTTACAACTTCAGCCCTTCAAACTTTATCTTACTCTTCGTTTACTTCTTTTAATATATAAAAGAGTAAATTACACGAATGGTCCCTATGGTTTGGGGTAATTTGCGTACTTAGTTCCTAACTTATTTTTTTAACTCAGAAAGTCCATACTATTTGTTTTTGTCATGCGCTTGGTCCATACTGTTTTAAGTCATACTGTTTGTTTTTGTCCCTACTGTTTATTTTTGTAACACACTTGATCACTGTTTTACCTAAAAAAAACTATTATTTAAATAGTAAAAAATAGTGGGGTAGGTAAGGTAAGGTGAGAGGGGTGGGGTTGGGGTGTGTTTATTTAAATAAATTAAAAAAATCAAGGCCAAAATAGGTTTTTAGGTAAGACAGAGACCAAACTCATAACAAAAACAAACAGTAAAGACCTTTCGAGTTAAAAAAATAAATTAGAGACCAAATATGCAAATTACCCTAAACCATAGGGACCATTCGTGTAATTTACTCTATATAAAACTCCAATTGTACCTCTATTATACATCATGAATAGTTTACTTTATTTAAAATATATAATTATAATTTATGTATTACTTTTTAACAAACTAAATCATAAAATACATTTCAAATACATACCACTATTGAATAAAAGATCAATTAAAACTGTACATTATCATAAGAAGTAAGCTTTAAATTACAATACTAATTAAAACCACATTAACTACCTTACGAATATATATTTTGGACATTTCCGGCTATAAATTTTCGACACTTCAGACGTTTCAGACTTTTAGAAATGTATTTCAGACACTTTAGACTATACATTTCGAACATGTCGGAATAAAGATTTTCTCACATTTCAAACTAAATCATAATGAAAAAACCTACCCTTACAATTCTTATAATATAGTCTTTAGTTAAAGTTGACGTTTATTTTGTACTGTTATTTTATTTTATTTGATTGTGTAATTTTGTAACATTTTAATATATTCAATAGTGATATCTATTTGAATTTATTGATGAAATATATTTAATGATCTAAATTGTTAAAAAAAAAATACATAAAGTGTAATTATATATTTAGCAAATACTACAATTTATGTATAATTTTTTTTGGGAAAATGACACAAAAGGCAATATGTTTTTATTTTTTCGATTTTGACATTGCATTATTTTTTGTTTTAAATTTGATATCGTATTTTCTAATTTTCTTAATTATTGACCATTTCATCGAGACCTCTCATGAGGACATCCACAGTCCATTGAACTCTATAGAGTTTAATGGATTGTCATATCACTGACACACCAACATTTCACTTTTTATTCAAATTTACTCGTTAACATGCACACTCTATTAAACCCAACAAAGTTTAATGGATTTCCACATCATCATCATTATATTTTTAAACATAATTATAAATTTAAAAATAGAAGATATAATAGTTAAAAAAAATGCAATACTTAAAAATACATTATTTAAAAATAATGAAACTTAAAACATTTAATACCTAAAAATATATTAATTAAAAAACACGAAACCTAAAAACATGAAACCTAAATAATATAATATAAAAAGTATGGTTAATTTTATTTGTGGTTTAATTAAAAATAATAATATGAAAATATGATTACATATATATTTGGTTTGAAATACAATTGAAAAAGAAAAAGATTAATTTCATTCAACCACTCAATGATCATACAACTCTTCCATTCAACAATCCTTCATGTCATCATCCACACTCCATTCAACCTCTATTCAATCCTAATTATCATCTATTCAACTCATATTAAACCCCCATTGTGGATGCCCTGATGATTTGGAAAATACGATGTCAAAATCGCCAAAATAATAAAATAAATTAAAAAATGTATTTAAAACAAAAATTGGATAATATGATGTCATAGCCGAAAAAGGAGAAAGTGACGTCTCTTTTGTGTCATTAAACAAAAATGAAAATGTCAATATCGAAGAAAATCGAAAAATGTGATGTTCAATTTTTTTTATAAATATAGTTTCAAAATCGAAAAAATGATAACATAGTGTTTTTGTGTCATTTGTTATATTTTTAACAAGTTATATCATAATGAATATATTTCGTACATTTTGCACTATAAATTAAACACATTTCAAACATTAATTTAAGACATTTCACATGGTTTCTAATGTTTTAATTAATCTTTTATTAACATTGTTGATTCCAAGTTATTGATGAGATATATTTTATTATTTAATTTGTTAAAAATACTATATAAATTATAATTATATACTTTAAATAAATTAATTAACTGTAATTAATAACAAGGATAAAATTTGGTGTTTTCAATAATAAAAAAGTAAATAAAAAGTAGATAAATTTTGAAGGACGAAAATTATACCATATGAAGGTTAGAAATGTAATTTGTTAGTTAGAAACCTTAGAAATAAGAGTTAGGAAGTTAGATTGTTAAAGATGGTGGACCTATTTTAAAAACCAACCTATTTCTACAAAGGTTTTCAAACAAACCTATATCTACAGTTTGATTTAAAAACCACCCTAGTTTTAAAAAAAAAAAAAAAAAAAAAAAAAAACTCACACCAAAGGCCCTTTGCTAGTCATACAATTATTTGACTAGCAATGTGTGAACTAAAAATATCCCGCGTGATCAAGCCTTCCCCACTTTCTTTGCTTAAATCTAATCCTTCCGAGTCCACACGGTCATCCAATTAAACACGCCGACGTATAACTGGAATCATATACCTCGCTCTACTTTGTTCGCTTCACCCTTGTCGATTTCATATCATTGACACGATGACTAAACGATATATATTAAATTAGTGGTTGAAACAAAGGTTGTATGGAAAACCATGATGGACTCGTGAAAGACATGTGAAAAATCAAAAGCCATCGTGTTCGTTTAACTATGGATGATTTAATATAAAATATATATGTATTTAATTACATATGGTCCACTCTTGTTGGTTAGTTAATTTCGTTTTCTTTCACGTGGAGCAGCAACTTGATCACTTCTGTTATCATCTTTCATCCACAACAAACCAAGTGCTTTTATTTTTTTAAGTAGGGAAAATGTCTTACAATACCAACAAAGTTTTTAAAATGTTCAAAAACCTTCAGGTTTTGTTTGTTCAAGAAAACTCAACGAACTTAACCTTTTGTTTAAAAAAGTCCAACGAAGTTTCCAAAGCCTTCAAAAAAACTCAATCATGTTTTGTATGTTCAAAAGGTTATGTTCGTTGGACTTTTTTGAACAGACAAAACATGATTGAAGTTTTTTGAACGACTTGAAAACTTCGTTAGTCTTACAAGTCATTTTTCCGATATAGTAATAAGGCACGGCATCTGTTTCTCTTCTTTGACTTCCATAGAATTGAACAAAAGTATAACTCAGTTGAGCTATTTTTAGACAAAAGGTTAAATTCGTTGGGTTTTCATGAACAGACAAAAAATGATTGAAGTTTTTTAAACGGTTTGAAAAGTTCGTTGGGCTCGTAAGTCATTTCATAATATTCAAAACTAAATTAAATACCCTATTAATTAGCTGCTCACAAAGTATACATAACTTTAATAATGGATTAACTTGCTTAAATTCAAAGAAAACAAGCATCACTTTAAAGGGCAATATTTAATTATTCTTCAACATGGCCTACTGCGCGCCATTCAGCATATTTGGAAAGAAGATGTAGCACGCCTTATTAAAAGCGTTCTTTCCTTCTAAATAGATACATAACCAATCTATTTAATTCTTATCTTTTATCTTTTGTCATATATCAGGCAACAGGGACTATAAATTAGGCCAAGAATCCACTTTTGCAACCAAACCAAAAAAGACGTCGCATCCATTTCTTTCTTTCCGCCTACAACTTGTTCATCAAGATGATGATGATGATGATTATGATAGCAAGACTTGTGGACTCCATAACGACGCCCATCAAGACTTGGTTAGACAAGGTGCTAAACACCCACGACCACCAAAACACCACCAGCAGCATCGTGGTGAAGGAGCTTGGTGTTGGTAGCTCTCGAGTTGACTGCATCGTGTGCTTGTCTGAGGTAGTGTTGGGAGAAAGTTTTGCAACGTTAGAAAGGTGTAGACATGGGTTTCATGTTGAGTGCGTTGAAGCATGGTTAAAAGACCATTCAAACTGCCCACTTTGTAGAACCCCAATCTCTGGTGTCCATGAAGACATCCAAAAGCACATAGTTTACTTGAAGAAATTGTATGAGATGATGAGCTGTTATGGCTTCTTAGCTCTTGAGATCATGGCCGAATGGCTAACCAATTCCTTTAGCCAGGATCTCCACTCCAACCTTTCTGAGAGCTGCAGTTACTTGTGATATAACTAGTTGATATACATATATATATACTCTGAAACATACTAGTTTTTTTTTTCTCTTCTTTTATGATGCTATACACTTATAGTCTTTTAGGAAACATGTAGACATACGGATCTTGTTTAGTTCATACACATACTCATGTAAACGAAACTTTGATAAAAGGTTTTCTTTATTTCTTATAAGAAATGTTTTGTGCTGTGAAATTAATGGTCAGTTTGCATCATAGTACGTAGCTCCTAGTTTTGTGGGAGTTATATATACGTCATGTAAAGAAAAGGGTGCGATAGAGCAGTATCATCCCGATGAAGTAGCAGATTACGGTCTTATCTGTTTGTGTGTTATTCACAACAAAAAGTGTTGTGGGAAGCCAAAAGGTCAATCTTGGCCTTAATTTTGCGTAGTCAATAATGAAAACGAGAGTGGCGGCAGCCATTTGCAACATGCACACAACCCCGCACGGGGTTTCATGAAACAAACATTGGCCTCATATCTTCCACAGATTTTTTAGTATCATAATAAAATATATCTTTGATAAATATATCAATACCTTAAATATATATAACATAAATATAATATAATGTATATTTTGAGTTTTTTTTTTTTTTCCGGATTAAATCTCGATTCTTTTATAAAAGAATTTGCCATTTTTTATTCATTTTGATTTAATCCTTTTACTGTAATAATCTTCCAATTTTTGACAATTTTTTCAGAAAATCCTCAACTTTGTTTCCATAAAAATCTTCTTTTCCGAAAAAAAAAAACCCTGAATTTTTCTTTGTCCAAAAAAAAATGTCAAATATGAAGATTTTGTTTCGGAAAAAAGTACAAATTTGAAGGTTTTCCAGAAACAAATGTCTAAAACCTAAAGATATAAACATGATAAAATGGTCAAATCGAAAAAAATGAAAAAATACAAATTTTTTTTTTAGGATAAAAGTAATATTTATAATTTAAAAAAACCTAAAATATAAGGTATTTGATGATACTAAGCTTATATAAATCTAAAGAGCTCTTTTAGTTTTTCTTCACTGTGATAAATTTATGTAACCATCTGTTGACGTATATATCCTTTTATATATAACACTTGGTCGCAAAGTTTGTGAGGTATGCAAGTCTATCATTTTCTTTTAGAATAAGTTTTTATAGAAAGTTGTAGATTCAACGCTCAACAAATTCAAACTAAAAATAGATAGTTTTTCACTACTAGAAAACTGATGCAATAACTACAGCACAATCTGTAACTATAAGCGGATTGCTACGGAATTGCTACGGAAAAATGTCTGTAGCATAATGGCCCGTGGGAAAATTATAGCTACGGAATCGCTACGGAATAACTACGGATTTCCTGCAGAATAGCTACGGAATTGAATAGCTACGGAATAGCTACGGAACTAAATAGCTACGGAATAGCTACGGATCAAAATAGCTACGGAACTAAATAGCTACGGAAATCCGTAGCTATTCCGTAGCTAACTTCCTTTTATTTATAATAAAAAAAAATTTTAATTTTCCAATTTTTTGTCAAATACCACATTCAATTCACATTTGTCCCAAATACCAAATTAAATACACCAAAAAACGTCCCTAATACCAAGTTTGACACATTTCATTCTATTGTCCAAAATATAATACAAAAGTAAGCACTAATTAACAAAATAAACAATACCAAGTGTTTACAAATTCAATTGTTCAAAAATACTTATCAATTGTCCTCAGGTGGATTATCGGGGGGAGCACGGGGTTGATTTGCAGACATATTCATCATCCTCATAACAATTTCCATTTGTTCTTTCATTTGTTGTTGTTGTTGTTGTTCCATGATAGAAACTTGTGCACGTAACCTATCAACCTAAAAAAATGGTAACACAATTCAATACTTAAACAATAATAGCAATGTACTTTAGTTTATTATAACAATGTATTTTTGTTTATAATACTTATAGCAATACACTTAACTTTTAACCATAATAGCAACCTACTTTTGTTTATTATCAATTTAATCAATATTATCAACAAGCTACTTAACTTTTTAAGCCATAACATGTATCATTTTCATATTATTTTTACTTGACAAATAAAAATAATAGTTAATAGAAGTATTTAGAAATTTAAAAAAAAATTGTTTTTTGTAAATGTAAGTAACTATTTTACAACCGCCAAAAGATAGAAGTAACTTAAATACAAATCAATTCAATTCATAAAATAAGCCAAATCATTTGTTGAATTACATGTTAACTCAAATTGTACTTTTATCCTATATAGCAATGTACTTGTAAATTTCACCAACCAAAACCAAATCTAAAATTATAAAAGCCCAAATCAAAATAGATATAAATAACTCATCACTGTCACAAAATGAAATGCACTTTAAGCACTAAAAAAATACACACCTCAAACTGTGTATTGTTTGTAGCATTTCTAGCAAGAATCTTTGCATCTTTCTGCAACATAACACAAAGCACAAGTCAAAACAACAAAACCCGAAATATTAAAACAAAAAAAAAACGAGAAGCAAACAAACCTATGGTATCATTGTAACAAATAAACTCATTCCATGTTTTCCAATGCTTAGCTGCAAAGAACCTTATTCACACCACAGATGGCAAAACCCAAATCAAACAT